CCAGCACTGCCCAAAGCTGGGAAATGTAAGTCTATTCCCACTAGTTTCCTGCACCCTCAGTCTCACAGTCTAGGCACTGGAAGGGAAGCCTATTGGCCAGGAACACATTTGCAAGAAGACTGGAGCAGTATCCTTGACTGCTTTGACTCTTAGATGCAGAATGCATCAAAGTTCTGTGGTCTTGGAATGGCCTGGGAAGCAAAGGAACTCTTGGCATAGGTGTCCACCTACCAACAACTCGCCTTCAAGCAAATGTGTCTAGGTGGCATATATGTAGACAAGTCTCCCTGCTGAGTATTGTGTTCAACAAAACCAAAGTGCAAACACAAGAAGTACAGTTGTGCAATTGATCTCCTACCTGGGACCACTCCCCTGAGGATTCGAGTCATTGGTCTCTCTCTCAAAGAAACTGAAGTGATGAAGGAGTACGTTCAGGAGAATCTAAAGACAGGATTTATCTGTCCCTTCACTTCACCTGCAGTGGCTGGTTTCTTTTTTGTCCAGCAGAAAGACAGATCTCTCCACCCTTGTATCCTTAATAAAATCATCAAAATAAAACAGTACACTTTGCCACTGGAGAAGGCCAGTAAGGCCCGGGTCTTTACTAAGATTGACAACAGAGGTGCTTACAACTTGGTCTGCATTATGTGAACTTCAACACCAGCTCTGGGCATTACGAATATCTCATAATGCCATTTGGCCTGTATAATAGCCTGGTCATCTTCGAACACCTTATGAACGACATCCTTTGGGACTTTGCAAACATGTTCGTCACTGTCTACCTAGATGATATTCTGGTCTTCTTTAGAAACCTAAAAGAACATATTGGACACGTCTGGTACGTCTTATAATGCCTCAGAGAATACTGCTTCTATGCCAAGCGCGAGTTTCACTGGACAGAGGTATATACTGTCTTCCACAGGAACTCAGATGGATTCCAGTAAGCTTGCTTCAAAAATGGACTGGCTCAACCACACCACCATTAGGCAAATCCAGTGCTTTGTGGGGCTGACCAATTACTACTGCAACTGTATTTGGAACTTCAGCACAATGGTAGCTCAGATTATGGCCTTCACCAAAAAGGGACCAGGTTGGAGCTGTTGGATCTTCAGAGTGCAGAAGGCCTTAGAGGAGCCATTTCACCTCAACACTCATTCTCTACCATCTGGATCCCTCATACCCATATGAGGTCAAATTAGACACTAAGAAGTGGGAGTAGGGGCAGTCCTCTAGCAACTCATTAGCTCACAGTCCAGATTTCCTTCTTATCCTACAAATCGTTCTGGTGGAGTGCAGCTATGATGGTGACAATGAGGATCTTCTTGCAACAAAAATAGTCCTGGAAGAGTGGAAAAACTTTTTGGATGAAACACAAAAACCCTTTATGGTCTTCACCAACTATAAGAACTTGGAATACCTTAAGGCACCAAAAGACAAGCACAATAGGCCTCGCTGTCCTCCCAGTTTGATTTTTCTATCTCCTATTAGCCAGGAAGCAAGATTGTCAAAGCCAACGCCTTTTAAGAGACACATTAAGAGACCAGCCTCCCAAAAGTACCACTCCCATTATTCCAGAGGATTTAATTTTTGGGGTCATTTTAAGAGTTGGAAAGGGCAGTTTCGGCAGCTACAGCTAAAACCCCAGCTCCTCCACATGCTCTGCTGAGACAAACTTTTGTGTCCCCACAGGCCAGACCTGGGTGGGGCCCCACTTCAGTTAGAAGATAGAAGTGCACCCCGGTGCCCAAAGGTGCTTCTTGGAACTCTCTGGTAGACATTTCAGGTGAGCTTCCTGAGGGTGGATGTCAAAGAATATATAGTGGCCTGCTCAATGGGACTCTCTTCTTCTTTCGGCTGAGTTTTCCAAGACAACCTTCTTCAACACAATGACAGGTATGTCCCTGTCTGAACGCTAGTGTGGGTTCAAACCCCCTCTCCTCAGGTTGAACCAATACTCCATGGTTATCACTGCTACTGACAGGGCTTAACAAGATCTGGAGGGGGATTGGAGAACCATGAAAGCCAACCTCCTCAGTCACTCCTTCTCTCAGTCTCAGTCAATGCATATTGTTGTCCATCAAATAACTTCGCCATCACCTGTTATCAAGAAAGTTACCTCCAAGTTTCGTCGAGCCCTGTAAGATGAAGGAGCATGTGGACTCTATCTCCTACTGACTTGCCCTTCTCCAGCTTCGTCAGCAATCCATATTTTGCTTGTCAAACCCACACTGGGATCTCTAGCACCACCCAGGGTGCCCACTCTGGCTGTGAAGGGAGAGGAAGAACCCAAAGCACACTGGATCCTAGACTCCTGAAGGATACAGAACAGTCTACGATATCTGGTCCATTGAAGAAGTTGTGGTCCCGAGGAGTGCTCCTGGGCCCCATCCCTGAATGGCCCATGCCTTCCATATCTGGTTCCGCAGGAATCCAGAAGTCGCCCTTTAAGGGGGGATGGGGGCACTGTTATCCCTGGATGGGGCAGAACTTCCAGTCCACTGTTTCTACAGGGACAGTTTGCATTCGCATGAGGAGCTTGGCTCTTACAGCAACCTGAAGCTAATTACAGTAACAAACCCCACTTGCTACTCCCTTGGTGCTCTGTTATTCAAGCTACATTGACTCAAATTGTTCTCTTGTGCCATGGATTACCAAAACTTGCAAATTAGTTATCAGTTGCCTGCACTTCCTGTGGCAGATTCAGGTCATGAAATATTCCCTTGTGTGCTGATCCCGCCAGTTCTGTGTTTTTATTCCTTCAGCACCAGTACAGTGGCAGTCCTGTATCTCTGTATCATCACCCACTTTTTCATTGTTTCTGCCTTCATAACCTTACCTTAGTCACCCCAAGCCTACAACTCACTCGGATTTCTCTGCCAGCCCTTCTGCATCCTCCTGGACATGAAACCCTTTTCATCATCTCTGTCTCTTGCAGATGGATCATTTTTTCCCCTCAGCCACCCGCTGGCTTTTACACACCAAGAAGCAAAGTAAAAGATTTTTTAAAATAATGACAAAGTAGAATTTTCTTGTGTTATTTGTTAAATGAGGTTAGTTTTATCTACTATTAAGACTTTCAAGTATGTCTAAATATGTTAAACCCTAAGATCTTAAGGGGATGTACTTACTTTTTCACCACATTGTAGCTATATTCTTCCCTGAAGATAGTTTCTGTATATAATTCAATTCAACTCAATTTATTTTTTATATAGCGCCTTTCACAACAAGGTTGGCCCACAATGCAAGTGACCATACATTTTGTCAATACAGAAGAGAAGACCAGAAAACAACGGAGCAGAGGAACCAAAAACTCCTTAGTATGGAGAGAAAAAGCCTCTAGGGATCCGAGGTCAACTGGTTCCCCAATCCCTTTGGGCATGCTAACATTATATAATTAAAAAAAGGAAATAAATGAATGAGGGTATTAGTCCATCTATCCATCATGTCTTCTCTGTGTTGGTACTCCATGCAGATCTCTGTAGACCAGTAAATTCCTCCTAAACCATAGATATATCCACAATGTCCCTTTTGTATTCATGGCAGCATCCAACTCAGATTGTGCCCAGCCCAGGCGCCATCAGGACATGTGGGGAGGAGAATGGGATAGCTTGGTCAGCACAGATGCATCTGCCTGTACAGCAACACTAGCAGCCATGGTTGCATCAGGCTATAATGTAAGGTGTGAATAGGATAGGCTGATGTAGTAGGTTTTCAGTCTGGATTTGAATACTGAGATTGACTCGGCATCCCGAATATGGGGTGGGAGACTGTTCCATAAACTAGGGGCCCTGTAACTAAAGGCTTTTTAGTTACGCAACTGTTATTTTATATAAAGGTGTGATTGGTGCACTTGGGAGCACTGGTTTCAGTTAGGTGAGGAAGTTAATGTTGTGCATTTTCAAAATGCTTGCGAGATTTACAGGTATTCAAGGAAATTCCTTCTATGTTGAATTTGAACATACTTGTTTCAGCACATATCTGGTATGTTGCTTGGCTTGAAAAAGGCTGTCATGGTGACCTTAGTTATTGCTCTGAAAACCAGAAGATAATAAAGATAGAGGTTTGGATCATTAGGTTAAGCAGAGAGAGGAAGTGAATTATGTCAGCTTATAATAAATAAACATTTAAAAAGGTTTGAAGGTCAAACACATCCTTTTGAACAGGTATTTAGCTTTAGACAATAATGTCATCCTTCTCCCACTGAAAAAAAATATTGATTTCACTAACCTGTATATGATTATTTCTCAGTATCAATTACACTTGATGCAAATTGTTATTTGGACCCCTGCATGTTTTTGCAGTTACAAGACATTAGCTATTGAAATCAAGAAGGGAGGCAATATACTGTAACATCCCCAGGACCATTGATTTAGGAATCAAACACCAATTATGTACAGTATAGTGTTCCATTACATCAGTGTTGTAAGTGTTTTGTCATTTTACTTATTTGTGATAGAAGAGACTCATGCTTTACACTTATAATTTTATACTCTTATACTATTTATTTATTAGTAGTATAATAACAAACACAATCATGGTTATTTCCACGAATTTACAACAAATTTAGCTGTTTTTCCACAACATTGTTGAAAAATCAAGATAAACATCTTTAGTTCAGAAAAATGTGTCGCGGAATTACCTAATTTCATAAAACCATTTTTCATCCACTATTCCAACATATTCTTTTTGACTAATAACGAAATTCCATGAGCCAAATACTGACAGTTAAGGACGTACAGTTCAGTACTTACTTAAGCATAACAGATTACAGAGAAATGTATAATACAGTAATATAATGAGCTATCAGACTACGCTGAAGATCACAAGAAAAAGCGTTTTCTTCTTCTTTCTTTAATTCACGAGTAACAGGGTAACTTAGAAATGATGTATTTTATGTTTATAGCGACAGAGTAAGAATAACAAAATACTTCAATCCATTTCAAGCATACTGTAGTTAATGCTAAACATGACCACTTGCTCACCTCACGTGACACCCCAGGTCAAATTCTACTGTTAGATTTTCTCTTATACTATTGGATATTAACAAGCAAAAGGATCGCTGATACATCACTTGAAAAAAAATGCAAGAATTATGTTACGCTGATAACTGTGCAAATGGTCAGAGGGCTAAATACTAGCCTTATCTATTGTAGGTTGCCAAGAGAATCCAGCGAAATAGCGTGTCAGGCGACAGGATTTGTTTCATCTCAGAAAACACGGTCTGTTCTTGAAAAGAGCAAGACATCGTTTTTGTAAATTAAGGGAATCGATTTCACTGAGCTAGCGAAGTTTTTTTTTTGCTCGTATTATTTCGAAATATATGAATGCTTTTAAAAGCGGACTAGACGTCACTGAACTGTCGTAAGTAAAAACATTTTATTAAACAAAGTTTATCTAGCAGTGTTGTTGATTCAAATACTTTATTACTTTATTATGCATTGCAGTTGAATTTTTTTTCAAGAGTTTAAGTGCAGTGTTTTAAATTACGACAGGTGCAACAGGATCAGGATAATAAAAGCAGCATATCGACAAATGCGTTTGAAAAGACAACTATATGACAATATAAATATTGAATGTAACACAAGTCACAATTTAGTTTGTTTATTCAGTTAATTTTACTCGAGTAACAATTTTCATTCACTACTGTTCAGTACAATGATTTCATTATTACATAAACGACTTAATGTACTACTACGGTAAATTTATATAAGAAAAATAAATTCTAAAGTAGCCCAAGTTAGTTTTGACCATTTTGACAAGGCTTGATATCAGTTTCTAAATGTAAGACTAAATTCGAGAAAAAAAACAGGAATCTAGAAATAAAAATATGCATTAAAATATTGATTCCCGGAAAAACAACCCCTATTAGGCGTTCTGAAATGACAGAAAAAATTGAGCGAGTTCATTTTTGTTTTGTCAGACATGGTCTAACCATAGCCAAATAATGTTTGTGAAGGGATGATTGTGTTTTCAGTAATTGTTAAGTAAAAGGTCTTCTGTCGGTAAAGATTTTCAAGATGGTTTTAAAGTAGCGTTATTATTTCAGATACAGCGTTTAGTAAGACAAAAATAGCTTGGTACACTGACAGTAAAGATATATATATATATCTTTTCATCTGTACTCATTTAAAAAATAAACGGTAGCTTGCATACATACCCAGTAAATTCCAATGAAATGTGTAATGAAAAAGAATATATGAGGAAAAAAATATACTGTGATAGTATTCAAGAAATCGTCTCTCATAAATGAGGATTAGTTTAAAAGCACATCATATTGGGAATATAGGATCTTAATGTGAGGTCTCTTTTTAAAAGTTCTGTGTGAACATAAATCTCCTGTTGTAAGAAACAGCCTGGCTCATTAGTTAATTATGACTGTACTTGATGAAAGTAGATCAGCCTTAGAAAGTAGATCAGAGTTTTGTGTCAGTCAAAGTGTGGTCTAGACTATATAGACATTATCAAGTGTCTTACAATGGTCATCAACATCCTTTAAATTATGATGTTTTTTCCAATTAAATAATATTGGCTTTAACATGATCTATTGGTAAGAATTAGCAATGACCAGTTATCAATTACAAGTCATACTGAAATATGTCTTTTTCAGTATCTTCCATGCTGAACTTCTAATTCATATCTAATAGTGAATTAGTGAAAGAAAGCATCATAAGACCCACAATACAGTTTAGTTTGCAGTAATAAATACTTAACCTGGTCCAGTTGTGTGATAGTAAATCCTCAATCATTTGTAATAGAATGTTAGTATACAAGATGCATGCTGTGGATAGTCAGAGTCCTGTATCAAAAAAGTATATCAAAGCAATTTGTTACAAACCAGTTGTACAAATTGTGGTAAGTACAAAAATGATAGAATTATTTTACAGTTGTTATTTTTCAAGTGGTTAAAAGTAGTGTTAAATGGATTTGAGAGAGGTACATATAATTCTGAAGTTTTCCTCCTTAGGATGACGTGGGGTGACGTCATCCTAAGTACCTGATACTGTCCTAACTGTTCCTAAGTCCAGATTCTTTTTAGTCAATAAGCAACCAATTCCGACCTCCTCACTAAAATGGTTTGCAAGAGAGTTGGTCTAAAAACAGATGGTAAGGAAATCAATATTTTCCTCAATTTTGAATACAACTAAACCAAACACCAGAAACATCAATTTTAAAAATGTTAATTTAGTCTTTTAGCTTATTTTCTGTACCCAGAATAACTAAATTCTAAACTAAAGCTGAGTTTCAGACATCCATCTATTAACAGGGCAGACATTTCAAGATGTATATTCTTTGTGCCTGAACTCAAAGGAAAACAGACTTCTATCAGAGGTGCTACAGATCAGAAAGTCTACCGCACTTAAAGCTTAAAATCTTTGTAGCAATATCCATATATACTTTATACTATGTACTTTTATCTTTAACATTTCTCTGCTCCTTACATGAAGTTAAAAATGATCTTGTACTTTTTTCCAGGTCCTCAAATAGAATGGGGAATGGATCAGTGAAACCAAAACAAATAAAGCAACCAGACAGGACTGTAGTGAGTCTTTCTCTTAATGGCAATGGAAACAAGCTGTTCAAAGATGCTGGTACTGGCCTTAATGTCAAGGGCACATCTGAAATCCTCAGATTTAAAGTTTCAGATCTCGAAAAGGAAAGCAAAAGAAAAGATGAAGAGCTTCGTGACAAGGATTACAAAATCAAAGGGCTTCAGGAGCAGCTTGTCAAGCAGACTACAGTTATTTCTGAGCTTACTGAGGAGCTACAAAACAAGTGCATACAGCTGAACAAGCTTCAGGATGTTGTAAAAACTCAAGGTGGTCAGAGCCTTCATCCCTCACCACTCAAAGTCAGATTCAGCCAGCATGTCAGTGATTTTTTCAGTCACACCCTGAACAAGAGGAAGGGTGCAAAAGAAGGAGTGTCAGCAGAGCCCACCTCCGCCTCCACTAGCAGATTTCCCAAGTTTTCTTTCGAGAAAGTCAGGGTTCGGAAAGATTCAAGGTAAGCTTACGCCCTTTTCTTCAGTACTATCTTTCATCTACTGGGTATAGCTGGGGTGTCAAACTATTCAAATCTATGTTCTTAAACACACGATTAAGATTTTTGCAGGTTTTAGGAAATGTTCATTTTTATTGGGAAATTTGTTCATAATGTTAACGAACTGTTCATTGAGAATTTAATACTGCTGTCTTTGACCTTTTCATATAGCTGATACATCCTTTGAAACTACAAAGAATGGAAACTCATTTGAGTCTAGGCCGCAGATTTTCCACTGAAGGCAAAAGACCTCTCTGTAGATCACAGCCATACCACCCTTGGATCTGATTCTGTCAGATCTCAGAAGATAGAAACAGCGGGATCTAATCTAATCAAATAGTATTTGGATTACATCTCTGGGTCAGGAAATCATACTGGGGACTTAATGGTGTCCATTGAGTCACATGTACTCTTCCTCTGAAACTCTTGACTTTTAGTAAGTGTCTCTTGACTTTTAGTATAATGGATATTTCAAGATTTAGTGCTATGAAAGATAGGTCATAGTCAAACACACTAAAGCAGTTATCAATATAAATGACTTTGTATCTACATATTATAATGCAGGGGTGCCCAACCAGTCGATTGATCGATGTGGATTGTCAATGTTTGGCAAACAATAAATGGGCTATTTGACTATTTACTTTTTTTGATAGCCTAAAAATTCATTCAGATCTTTGGATGTAATGTTGTACATTTTACTGCCCTTGTGTGTGTTTAACCCTTGTCAAATGGGTTGTAAAAGTATTTTCCCTGAGTGCAGGCTGACACTGAAAAGAAGGCTACTGGAGCTCAATAAATAGTGTTGTGAGTGCTACCCAAGAATGTTCTCTTGGTTATTGCCGCTACAGTGCATAGTGAAGCGAAACAGTCAAGTTTGACTGCCTATTGATAGTTGTAGTGTTTGAGCAAAAATGATGAATCAAAGAGACCGAAAACGTACCGTTACCACAAGGAATGGGAGCATGATAATTTTTTGTACTTTCACATTCAAATCTGCAATGCTAGCATCTATGCAAAAAAGTGAAATATAGAACAACATTTCAAAACTGCACACAAAACGTATGTTGTGGACTTTCCCACTAAAAGTGAGTAATGGAAAAGAAAAGTGGAAAAATTAAAATCTCAACTAGTAGCAGTAGAGGCCTAATACAAGAGAGAAAGCGGCAGTCGTTCAGTATGTGCCACGTCCTGGCTAAACACAAAGTCATTCATGGAATAGAAAAGGCGTTTGCTGAGGCTACTGAGTTGCTGTTTTGAGATTTAAAAAAAACAATTTCAGTGAGGTTCAGACAGCTGTTGCCTGAAATCAAAGAATTTCCCAAGTCCTCAAAACATGGTGAATATGCCCAATTAGAGGATGACCAGATGCTACTGGATTTAACATTCCTCCCAGACTTGACTGAACTGCTGAATGAGCTGAATGTTGAGCTGCAGGGTAAAAATAAAAATGTAATTGAGTCAACAGCAGTGTCAACACGTTAAAAAAAATGATAAGTGTTCTCAAGTATGCTTCTCAGTGCCAATGCTCACATTAAGGTAGGATATTATTTTTTTCTAATATGGGGAACATTACTTGCATTTTAGTGATGGGTATCGTTATTGTACTGATGTGATCACAGTCTGTTTTTCCTATATCAGAGCTTCAAATTCACACTGGTAGATCTCGCTGGACTGGCAAATGAAAAGGTACAGTAGATCTTACATTAAAAAAGGTTGGGCACCCCTGTTATAATGTGAAATCGAGGAATTGTGTACTTAGTGGACAGTGAAGAAATAGGGCAGCTAGCTCCTGGGTTGCTATTATATCCTGTAATGATATGTACAAACTGGGAAAACTAATAGTAAAATACACATTGAATTTTTCTATACACATATATTAATGCACATGCAGAGAGTAAGTAGAATATGCATGTGAAAGACAAAGGCCATCATTTTTTAATTTCTGTGGTTATTCAAAAGCTAGCTAGAAGTTATTCAAAGCAAAAAATACTTTTAAATTAATCTAAAGAATGAAAAGGACAAATCACTTTTTTTATTTGTCCTGATTCCTTTCTTTTATTTCTGGAAGCCTCTGATAAAAACATTTTTTGTATCTATCTTCCTGGAGCGTGTAGTATGTCTTTTAAATAGTCTTTTGGGAAAACTCTGCAAATTGCAAGGCAGTGTGGCTGTGCAAGGTCAACAGCTGATACCACTATATTCCAGTTCTGTTGCTAGTGTCATTTTTCATAAGACCTTTATTTGTCTTTGTGACTGGAAGATATTTGGAAAATTTAAATAAGTGGTTACTAGTCTTTTCTATAGGTGAAACTGACCATCTGGATGTGTAACTCTAAGTCCTATTTTTGCTCAGTAAGGCATGGTTAAGACTGAATTCCATAGCTCACAGAGTAATTGGCATTTCTTTTCTTCATAAGAAATGAGATTCATCAATAGAGCAGGAGAACAGACACTACATGTTAACTTACACTGCTCTTTGAGAAAATAAAATGTTGTTTTTTAAGCGTATGTGGAATATACTGTATATCATACAAAGGATCCCTTAAATTATCAAAATAATATTTTGTTCCTTAGCAAGCGATGTTTTTAAATAAAGAATTCCTAACCTGACCTTTTGATACCAGAAGTCCTTACTTTCTCTTTAAGAAGAAAGGGAAATTTCAAAGGGAAATAAAAAAATCATCCATCCATTTTCAAAATCACTTTACTCACATTCCAGGTATTGGGGAACACCAGAGTCTAACCCTGCAACCATACAGCCTGGACAGAATCCTAGTCCATCACAGGGTACATGTACACATACACTCTCACACCAGGGCCATGTTTTACAGGAGCCAATTAACCTACCAGTAGGTCTTATTCTGTGGGAGGAAACAAGAGTACCTAAAGCAATCCCTCATATGCATAGGAAGAGTATTCTAACTCCCTACAGTTAATACCCCAGGAACTGAACGCGGGACCCCAGCACTGCAAGGCAGCACTGTTAACCACTGATCCATTTTGCCACCCCAAGTTTAGTCTTTTATCTCAAATTTCCAACATATGAGGTAATCCCTGGAAGAAAAATGAGACAGCACAGGCAATCACTTGCCCCGACTTCCCAACCACTCCCAAGTGGTTAAAAAAGTAAAAGCACTTGTTTGCATTATGGCTTGAACTCCATTGTACAGACATTACTGATTTCAGTCTGGACTGTGTCATTATACAACGGTTCTTCAGGAATCCCCCTGGCATTGGGCTAATATGTGCATATGTGCATTTAAATATTCTGTACATGTACTGTCTGATACTGTATATACCCTTCTCTTGCTATACAGTAGTGAAGGAACTGCTATATCATCAGGCATGTGTGCAATTGGATTACTTTCAGGAAAGGTCTTGAGATTCCACAACGTGATACTAAAGTTGCTTTGAGCTTCCAAATTTGCTTGGAAAATAGACAGAAGAATAATTGTTATTTGAATAATTCTGTAATGTAAAGTTGGTTTTGCTTCAGATAATATTATACTCTGGTGTATTCCATCCGTTCATTCCTCAGTCCATTTATCTTGATGAGACCCACAGCCCTGTGGTTACAGTATTGTAACCACACTGTATCACTGTATTTATTATTAAGAATATCCAGTGGTTTCATGTAATATTTGTAAGTTGTTTAATTTTCTTTGATAATATAGTCAGGCAGCTTGAGCATCATTTAACTCCTCCAGGTCTATTAGTCTTTCGTTTAAAAGTTTGTTTTAAACTTTTTTTTACATGCTTTTTTCATGTTTATGTTAATAGAAATGTTCACAGTATGTGATTATTATGGTTTGCCATATGCTTTTCAATCCATAAAAGAACCATGCTGGGATTCATTCTTCCTGCTTTAATGTCTCTGTCTGAAACGTATGCTTGATAATGTTTAAAATGAACGGTGTCAAGTATTTTGTAAGTGGCTAGTCATTCAAACAGAAAAAGCATGAAACTAACATTAAGTTAAGCAAATTAATATAATTGAAAGGCTTAAAAAGAACTGTTTTAATTATTAAGCATTTTAACCATGTGTTTACTTACTATTCACAGTCAATTTGAAATATAGCTTCATAGATTGTAGAGCTTTTAGTTTCTACATGTACAATGTACCTCCCATATTATTTACACTTACAATTCATTCAAACCATTTCATATTTGTATTTCCTTTTCTTTGCTGTATAATTCACGAAAATATATTATTTAAACTTTAAATATTTATTTAAACTTATACTGTGGAAACCCAGAAACTGATAAAATGATTATATAATAAAAATAGCTATATTCTTGAAATGTAAATTCTAAGCATTCAGCAATAATCCTTTGACAACTAGAGATCTTTGTAATTTCATTTTTTTCAGTTATTAAAAAAACAATATTTCTGTAATGTTTTAACATTTGGTCAAATGATTATATAGCTTTTCAAAACTGACTAGCTAATTTCTTAGTTGCACAAAATAATTCCTGTGAGGATTTAAATGATATATGAAGTTTTAAGACACTTCACTATTGTGAAATTACAGTATGTATTCAGGTATGTTATTGGATGGTTTAATCTAAAAGAAGAAAACAGTAGTAATCATCTGGTTAATGCATTCTTACAGATAGTGACAAGTAAAAGAAAATGCTTGGGTTATTACCGGTACCAATATGTTCATAACAAGGATTTTCCTGTCATGTAATATAATTTGGCTGACAGATTAGATAAAAATAAGTAGTTTAAAATTCAATTTCCCCTTTCATTTGAATGTGGAAATGCTCTGTAACCCCTGCCCTGTCCTTTGGCAAAGCAAGCTTGCAATCTGTTAAAATGGCCTTAGGGCACTGAACACATATGCACACAGAAAACCTCACATCTGTCTCTTACAATACATGTAAGCACACTTAAATGAAAACCTCCTTCAGATAGACAAATCTACTAGTAATCTTGCTAAAAAGCAAGATGCTGTAACTTGTAAGCAAACAATAAGTCCACAGTCTTATTTTAAAGATATAGTTAGGTTTGTGTATGGCCTATAGAATAGAAGAATGCAGATGAATTTTATTCACTGTGTATCAATAAACGTACCTCTCCTACAATGTTGGAGAATGCTGTTCAAACAGTCTTAAAGAAGCCAAAGATTTTTTCAGAAATGCTGTAGGGATTATGTTATAATTAATTTAATGGCTCCAGTAAACATTTAATCAAATCCAGTTTCTTTTGGGCAGATGTTTTTAGCTGTAACTTTATTGTTACCTGTGGACGAGTAATTTGAATGTACTGTCTTGCTGCAAAAGTCCAGATCTCTGTTCAGCAGTTCTAACTTTTTAAGTGATATATAACCCTTAACAATCTGAGTTAAATTCAAGATCCATAAAATGTCATAAACGCTATATCTTTACCTTTAACAACAATTGAGGGCAAGTTAGAATAGTAGGTAAGCCTCTGGTCTAGAAACTGGAGGTTTGTGAGTTTACGTCCCTGCTGCAATCCATCTGTTGTACCTTGGAAGAGGTACTTTACCCCTGGATGGAATAGATGGATCTAGATGGACTAGATGGATGAAGGAAGGAGATGCTTTTTCATGCTTTTCATACCATGGATAATATAAGCTGTGTCCCAATGAGCTCATGTAGCTGTGGTATGGAAATTATCTGTTTAATAACAGTTGGCTTTAGAGGTAGATGTTTTTTTAAGAGATTTGATATATACTGTATAACAGGAGTGATTTTATTTTTGTTTTGTTCCATTGGTACTCACAGTTATTTGTTGTGTTTGACAGTGTGAAGAAACTGATCACAGAAGCTCTCAATAAGAACCAGTTTCTTAAGAGGCTAGAGACGCAGCAAATCCGAGACATGGTGGAGTGCATGTATGAGAGAACCTACAACCAAGGAGAATATGTCATCAAGCAGGGGGAACCTGGCAATCATTTATTTGTTCTGGCAGGTACTGAAAACAATTAGAAAAATAATACAGGATATGGACAACTAAAAATGAAGACATATTACATATAAGGTATTACTATACACTATTACTACAGTTAACACTACATATAAAGATTCCCATTTTGGAATAGGTTAAAAGTTAATGGTAGCCCCTCATGATATCGCAGCAGGTATAATTAGGAGAGAACTGCAGGAAAGCTTTAATTGTTGTGTTGAACCAAGATTATAACCAATGAAAAAAGAATACAGCTTACAGAGTTTTCTGAAAACAAGAAACCAATAAAGTGTAGAAATTGTAATTATAATATAGTAACTGTTTTATCCTTTGAAGTTAGCAATGCACCAGAGTCTACTCTGGCCAGTCCAGGACACAATGCAGAGTGAAAACCTAGACAAAACCCCTGTTTCTTGCATGACACACACATTAAGCCTCACAAATATAGGTGTAGTAATTTAGAGATGCCAATTAATCTTTACAGCATGTCAACGGGATGTGGGAGGAAACCTTATCACCTGGGGAAAACTCATGCAGACACAATGTGAACATTTAAATACACACAGGTTTCTCAGCATGGTATTAAGGACCCAGGACCTGAGTGCTGTGAGGAAGCAATGCTATCTACTGCTCCACTTTGCTGCCCTGTACAAATTTTGTTTCATTTTCTAATTCTGAATGGTGTCAAATGCGTTTAATTTTGGAAAGGTCAGATAAGTTTCTGGTGATGTGGTGGCAAATCAATTAGCATTTCTGACTCAGAGCGCTGGGGCTCTGGGTTCAAGTCTGTGTGGAATTTGAATGTTCTCCCCATGTTTATGTGGGTTTTTTCCAGTTTATAGTCCCAAAACATACTGGTAGGTCAATTGGCCTCTGTAAAAATTGGCGCTGGTGTGAGTGTGTATGTGTTAATGTCAGTATGTGCCACACACAAGGAACTGAAGTGCATGCTTTTTTATGCTAAAAGATATATGTAAATATAATAATAATTTGGCTAAACTCCTAATATAATTTTTTAAAAATGTTTTCACCCTTGTTACAGGAATGTCTAAAATGAGTGTTATTATATACAGTATGTGTAATGGTTAAATGGCATGTGTTAAAATTTTTAGCACCTGGTCTTAAATTAATATTTAAAAGCTTTATTTTTGTGCATATTGTAGTGTTTATGTCCAAACATAAGCCAGCACAAAAGACGTCTTATTGCATGTAAGAAGATGAAAAGTGGTTCTGTGTTTATTTAAACAGACAGTTTAAATTTGTGCCATTGAATTAAACAATTGAAGACTTTAAGGGCGGTTAAATCAATAATGGAAGTAATCTTGTTTCGATTAGGCTTCCTGCAACAGCCTTTATTTACTTAGCATTTCTCATACATTTTTCAAATTTGGCCTTGAGTGTGATAAAATGTGAGCTTTTTTCAGAAATCCTTTGACATATATGTTTAACCAGATAATGGTTAGTTGGGAGATTAAAGCATTCATTACTAGTCAGAAAATATGCAGCAAAATATGGCAATTGATAATGTACTTATCTCTCAATCCAAATCAAAATAGAAGAGTAATGTTTTTTCATATTCCTTTCACAGAGGGACACCTGGATGTCTTTCAGCAGAGCAAATTATTAACAACAATATCTATGTGGACTGCATTTGGTGAATTGGCAATATTATATAACTGCACCAGGACCGCATCAGTCAGAGGTAAAATATATTTGGTTTATAATAAAAAATTGTTATGGAAAATAGGGAAGACATGCATATAAGAAAAAAATATAAAAAAAACTATCATACTCTACATAATTATTGAAATTGCATATACAGTAAGAAATGTTAAAATACTTAAATATAATGAAAAACATTAAAATACAGCCAGTGAGTATTCCAACTAATAGCTTTTGTCACATTTTCAATATGTCAAAGGCCTTAAGAAGAATGGGAGCTCTGTCTAGTTAAAGTATGAGATTTCATGAAACTGCAATCAAAGAATGACATTGATACAACATTATTCTGGTCATAATAGATGGGCTCTTGTAGGGTTCTTTTCAGATGTTCCCTCAGTAATCGCTTGTAAAGTGCCTGCTTTGCCTAGGTGCATCATTCTTCAAAGAGCATCTCATGTTTAATTGAGTTGGGATTAATCAACTTTATAAACCAGACCTTTCTGGTGACTCCTTTGCCTGTGAGGTTTGACTTTTGCCAGTCTGACATGATTATGCACTATACTTCTCTCTATCAGAGCACAAAGATTGAAAACTCCTCTGCTCCTTGTTTCACATTTTATTATTCTCAGAATAATATTGATATCTCATCTAATACTGTAGGGTCAAGACCTATTATTACACGTAGAATTAAGTTTTATTAAGTTCTCTGGTAATCTTTGTGTGCCTTGACCAGACAGCTAGATCCAAAATACAGAGGACTGTGGCTAAAGAGGCCCCAAAGATAAGAGAATGTATCAGTGCCTAACAGTGTAATCATATATTAATGGAAAAAAGAAACGCAACACCTCCTCCTCTATACTCTGGCCCTCCCAACATATAATTTGCGTGGAACAGGCTGAAGAGTGACTCATCCGTGAAGAGGACCTGATGCCACTGCTGACGAGTCCATTGCAGCCTCTGTCTGGCCCAAGGCAGTCGGTGTGATGTCTAGGAGGTGTGAGCAGAAGGCCTCTGACAGGTCACCTTGAGCATGGAGCCTCAGTGTCCTGTCACTGATTCAGGCACTGTGTCTGAAGGCAGTTTCAGCGGCATTATGAGTAGCAGATCTGAAACGATATCTCAGATGGACCAGTCTGATGTGTGGGTCCTGCTCTGGTGTAGTCACTCGAGGGTGACCGGATCCTGGACGGTCATCTCTCCTGCTGGTCTGCTGAACCCTTCTCTGCAGTTGGGACACAGTGGAGCGGCTTACTCCATAGTGTCTGGCAATGCTGGCACATGACATACCTGCCTGCAGCAATGGCCAATGGCCCTCTCCCTTGCTTCTGGTGACATTCGAGGCATTATGGAATGCACAGAAAACTGACTAACTATGGCCTTTTTCTTGTAGTGACCTAAGTTTTGAATTAAGGCCTTTTTAAAGGTGACCTGATAAAGCATTGTTCCACCTAGACCTTGTTGGGTAAAAGTGCACTTAACAAGCTTTTCTTGTGATTGGCAAGTTGCAATGCCTCACTGCACAAGCTGTATTGCTGTTTAAAGGGCTTAAAACAAATTTATAACTTTTTGTGAAATTACATGAGATATAACTATGCTATTCTTATTCCAGAAGATGTTGCGTTTCTTTTTTTTCATCAGTATATATCGCAGATAGACTAAATCAAATCTGTAGTCTTTTTTGTTCACAAAACCATGGGTCCAAGGTTCATGGGGTCATGGGGTTCATGGGTCAAAGGTAGGTCCACCAGTGAGAGATCTGCAAGTTGTGTTCTAGAACAAAACCCGACAGCATCTAAGCCAATCTCTAACTTGTGTTGCTGTATTTTAAAAGTGGGAATCAAAGTCATTTTTGTTGGTTAATTCACTAGCTCTTTATCTCTCTATCTTAAACTGGCAATCTGACTTTTCTAACCATGTGACTGCAAGCAGTCTGAGTCAGGACATAAACGTTTCTTCAAGACACCAGGCCAGAGTAAGTCAGTAAAGTACAGATATTATTTCTGCAACAAAAAAAGTCTTGTTAGCTTGAATTGACTGTTATTTTTGCCTGATCAATGGAATTAGACAGTTGGACTCTCTTTTTTTGTCAACATTGAATATCCAAGCATATTCAATACCAAGCTATAGGTGGGACGAACCACGTTTTCCCATATCTTACGGCTGGACTGCAAGGAGAACAAACTGCATGCACAGACTGTTTTACATAGTGTTTTTTAAGAAACTCAGCAAGAAGCTAACTAAGGCAGAGCTGCTAAGCAACGCAAGGCATAGCTCCCCCTCTCCTTTCTGGTACGGGGACTCCTATCAGAACAGAGCAGCTGCAAGTGGACCATGGACCAACTCCAAGCCCTGTCTTACCAGTGGAAAGTTTAACTCATCAAGGACGTGTGGCCAATGAATCTTTGAGTATAAAACTTTATTTATATTATAATTCTGAAGAGTTACATTATTCCATACACATTTGATGTTTAGTTCATGAGGGTAAATGCATACGGAATACCTGTAATATAATTGTAAATGTAATGCAGTTATATATTGAACCTGTGAGGTAGACCATAACACATGTTATATTCAATGTAGTTCAGGTGGGTAGCTGCGTCAGCATGCGTAGGCTGCAAAGGAACAAGTAATAGGTTTATTCCATGCTGAAAAAAAGAAGAGA